ATAATGTCGCCCACATTGAAGCCCTTATTGAGACCCCCGGCAGCGTTCGTCACAATCAGTGTTTTGACGCCTAAGAGTTTCATTACCTTTGGATGCATTGAAAAATTGTTTTTAATTCTCGTTTTTTCATAAATCTAGTGGTTATTAATAGCAGGGGTGGTAGGGGTTAGTGCTTACTCTGACAGGCATCGCACACTTAGCCATAGGGTAGCCCTCATAGGGATGGAAGCGACCCTTCATGCAGACCAGACAAACGCCTTTCAGTAGACCAAACACAAGACACCCGCTATGACCGACCACTGGATGTATAAATCAATTTTATTATTCACTATAAACCGCTTATCTATGATTATGTCACTGCAATTATAGCACATTAGCGTACCCGTGCTAACAGGAAAATTAGGTATACTCTGGTAGTCAAACACTTGCTTATCAGATAAAAGATCAGCCAAACCACCCAATCCCGAGCCACATATGATGCCAATAGTAGGTCTGTGTTTAGTCCTCTGCATATAATGTCGCCCACATTGAAGCCCTTATTGAGACCCCCGGCAGCGTTCGTCACAATCAGTGTTTTGACGCCTAAGAGTTTCATTACCTTTGGATGCATTGAAAAATTGTTTTTAATTCTCGTTTTTTTCGGTGGCAATAAATTCGTTCAATTATGGCATAGAGTTTAGGGGCAAATGAATTTTGATATATTCATAAATCTAGTGGTTATTAATAGCAGGGGTGGTAGGGGTTAGTGCTTACTCTGACAGGCATCGCACACTTAGCCATAGGGTAGCCCTCATAGGGATGGAAGCGACCCTTCATGCAGACGAGACAAACGCCTTTCAGTAGACCAAACACAAGACACCCGCTATGACCGACCACTGGATGTATAAATCAATTTTATTATCTATGATAATGTCACTGCAATTATAGCACATTAGCCTACCGGTGCTAACAGGAAAATTAGGTATACTCTGGTAGTCAAACACTTGCTTATCAGATAAAAGATCAGCCAAACCACCCAATCCCGAGCCACATATGATGCCAATAGTAGGTCTGTGTTTAGTCCTCTGCAGTAAATATTTACTGATTTCTTCGATCTCTTCGTATTCATAGCTTTATGGAAAAAATGTCAATAATTTTATCGAAATCTTAAGTAATGTTATTATCACATATGACTTTAAACTTATATTTAAGATTATAGTTATGAAAATATAATAAAATTTGCATAAAAATCAAATTAATTTTATTTTTGCAGTAAATAAGAGACAAATAAAGTTATGATTAAGCAATTCATTGGAATATTCTGTTCGCTTATGTACTGTAAATACTGTGTATTAATTGATAGGAAAAACTTTTTAATTGAATTTTTACTTTTATTTTTGCGATAATTTATTCAAATTTTTATACAAATAGATAAGCATTTAGTTTTCTAAACTCAAATAGTGTCGGGAGATTACAACCACTTCTCGACAATCATTAAAAACCAGGTTTTGAATGACTTTTGATTTTTGTTGTTTTGTTTATTGAGTTCTGATTTCAATTAATTTTATTCAATTTGATGGCGATATTGCTTTTAAATGCTTTTCATGAGATATTTGCTAAGATTTACTGATCACATGAACTAATTATAAGCAAATTAAATGAGAGAATTAATTGATTTGAATAAACTGCAAAATATTTCATTACTACAACTCGGACGTGTTAAATGTTATGTAACTATTTTGCCAAAACCACATTAGATATTCACAACATTTATTTATAATCTATTTATTAGTGTTTAGATTTTTACGTCATAATTAGTATTTTTAATGACAAATATATTTCTCAAGAAATGATCACTTTGTTTGTTGTCTACATTTTATCGGTAATCACATGAAGATTATTGCACTTATAAAATAAATAATAATTTTATTGTTTTGCTATTATCTCACATGTATTGCACGAATTTTGGGCAAACAAAACATCTTTTTTATCAAATTCTCATAAATGCATTGCTTTTGAATTTCAATATTTAATATGCAAAATACAAAGTGCATCATATTATGAATTCAATACACAATAAACAAGTTTTTGTATCCTTTTATGATATTTATATGGATTCAATCAGATTTAGATTTCATTTTTTGAAATAATTTATACGTTTTTCTTCAGCCGATATTGTCTTTCGTTGTGAATGTTTTCCGCAAATATCGGCGCATTTGTGTTGCGATAAAGTATTAGTTATGATTAGAGATTTAATACAGTATAAGATTTATTATAAGATAATAATCTGTTCGTAAAAGTTCTGAATTTTTGTGACTAAAAAAATGTATATCATAAATAAAATAAAAAACAGACAAAAATCAGTGAATTTGTTCGTAGAAAAAAACTTATTTATCAAATGCTCGGCGAATGATAAAATGAGTTTCACTTCTTATCTATCATTTCGTATTTGAAAACTAAATGCTTATCTATTTGTATAAAAATTTGAATAAATTATCGCAAAAATTGGAAAATGGTTTTTGTAATAAAAATTTATTGCATTTAATATCTGAGAGAGAGAGAGAGAGAGAGAGAGAGAGAGAGAGAAGTGACTCAAAAAATATCGCATTAACTGTTAAGATAACTATCATTTTGTTGTATAGAAAAACATTTCATTTGATTTCCTAACAGATTAATACAATTTATAAAAGTGTTGTACAATATACTCGGTATTTCTGTTCACTTTCTGCTTATTTTTCTACAATATATGGTATTTTTGTTCTGTATTTTTAAATATAATTATTTATATTCATATATGATTTTGCTTATATATTTTTATTTCATGTCGTTTATTATCTGTAGTCTTATTTTTGCTGATAATTTGTTAACTAAACTTTAAACCAAAAGTAACTATTATATGATTATTATCTTATGTTTGTAAGAGAAAAGCTTTGAAAATGTTTTTTATTTAAATATTCAATGTATGCCATGAATACCAATGAATACTAATCTCCTATTTTGCTTAACACATTTCTCAATATTAAATGCAATAAATTTTTATTACAAAAACTATTTTCCAATTTTTAATTTTGTTTAATTCTCACCTGTAATTCAAATGGTTTTTATAATTTTATAGATTTCGGTTGTAGAATATAAAAATGATTTATTTGATGAGAATATTTATTATTTATATTTGTTTTAATATAAATATTAAAATTATTAATAAAAGTTAGTCAAGAATTTCCTGTAAACTCACCCAATGTTTGAATCTTGAAATAAATTATTAATATAATTTTTATTAAACTGATGTATTAATTCAATCATATCTGATTCTGTATCAAATGATTTATTTTTTGATAGTTTGTCACAAAATTTATCGTTATTCTCATTAATTAATAAACTTTTCGATAGTTTAGTTGAAAACATTTCACACACTATATGAATACACTTTTGTCAAATACAGTGAATCTGAATAAGTGGATAAAATTAATAGAAAAATTCACTCAATTTATACTATTTATGAAATTCCTAAACAAATACAAGATTATTGACTTTTTATTGCATAAGAATCATAAGATATTCTACTGGTATATATTTATCAAAAATATTTTGTTATTTTCCAAGATTTATACAGTACATACAGTCTATCAATAATAGCTAAAATATTGCTTAATTAATCAATTGCATACATTAGAAATTAATGAATTACTTTATATAATCATATCTAAAATCAAGCCTTTAATTTGTTAGTTTAATTGATTTTAACACAAATAGAAATTGAATTTAAGATTTATTTTCGTTATTTTAAAATATTTTATTTTCAATATTGTGTTTATAATGAACCTGTTTATTTTAACATTTACTATTTCTATATTTATTAAATAAATGAACAAAAAATACATAATTTATCCTAATTTTTGAGAATTATTTCCAGTAATTGTTTGCTTAATAAATAATCTTTCTATAAGTGAATATAACTTTCTACTTGCTAATTATTTATATTTAAGATGAGATAAACATATATAATTATAGTGACACCAAATAATTTATATCAATTATTCAGACATAAGTTGTTTATTTTATATAACATTTTGCAAATAGTTGCGGGGTCAAAAAGTATTTATTAACTTTTATACTAAATTGAAATAAAAAGAAAACAAATTCTGTCACAAATAACACAAGAATTTAGTAAAATTTATCAGTTTTTGTTGATTTTATAGTGGTTTGAAACAAAAAGATATAATGGTTTTGGTTAAAATATACGAGATTTTCCATTACCTGTATTAATATTTATGGATTCAATATTTGTTTTATATATTTATACATAATTTCGGGAATTTTTTTCTCTATAAATGACATAAAATAAGTTTATTATTTTATAACTTAAACGATAGTAATTATTACGGTATCTACTGTATAATATATAATATATATATCTATATAATATATGCACACCATATATTATGGCTATACTTATAAATTGCTCGCATTTTTCCGATTGATTATCTCAAACGTCTTTTCCATTTATAATTGATATGAAAAATAAAAATACTTATGCATAAGAAAACTATACTATCCATTAATCTACGAGTGCGATCGCTTTTTATATGATATATAACTAAATGACTTGAAAAAAGAAAAATTTAT